TACAGCTAATGTTGAACTTTCTACAGAAGCACCTCACCAGACATTAACAACAAAGTCCCTTACCAGATTAATTTGGCTGATAATATTCCGACTCAGCACTGAATTTTCGTCAATAATTTTATTAACCTCAACAGCAGTTAACGAAAAAAAATGAAAAGTTTTTGCTGAAAGAAGCAATACGAATAAAGCAACAAAAAAAAGAGCTTTATAGTTAAGAAGAACTAAATACCTCACCTTCAATTTGTAATGTGGTCAAAGTCTAGTGCCTATCGTGTAATCAAGAAAAAAATGCCATAACTAACTCTTATTAAGAACTGAAACAAATACATTTCTTCCCTTTTGTTACGCCACTTTGCTTAAGCAGTGATCTTCGCCGTTTATTTTTAGATATTTGTACGAATTTGCAAGTGTTCTAAGTATTTTTCAAGAAGAATCTGTCCGGTACTGCTGTATCGTCTTAACTGTCATAAAAAACCAAGTGATAACAACAAGTTGTTTTTTCTTTTTTCAATAAAAAATTAATAGCATCTGCTACAAACTTTCTTGTTATGTATTAAAATCTTTGAAAATAACATAGTAATATGCAATCAACAAAATTCATTTTGAATATACCTCCTAAAACTTACTTTGTTCAAATTAATATTAAATATTCAAAGCACTGTAATAATAAAATATATCAGTTATAAAAAAAAGTTTACAGACTAAACAGAATTATCATAACCAATGCATCCTTCAAAACTGAAATTTTGACAAAAAAAAATTTAATTTTTTACAAGTCGATGAAAGACAATGAAAAAAAAAACGATGTTATAGAACGGTGTGGTAATTTACGCGTGTGCCTACAGCTACACTGTTAAAGTTCATACTTTTTCAGATGTTGTCGTCATTTGGAAAATTCGTGTTGGAAGTATTTTTTCTTATCTACACAAATATGAAAAACAAAGAATTGCTTTGCAAAGAAGTTTCTTTGGTATTTCCAAATTTTAAAAATCTTGCTTGCCTTGATGCAGCTATCAACTGTCTTAGACAACAAGTCTGTTGCGCTGATTGGCGATATGGAAATACGAAGAAAATTTGTTACAAAAACAAATACAGCTTTTCTCTGATTTTGTGAGAAGATCGAACGTAGTAATGTATAGGTTTCATAATGCAATAATTTATTTCCAGAAGAAATCAAGCGAAAATTACAGAATTTTCCTTTCTTTTTTTAGTACCATTTGAAAAATCAGCTGCAACAGAGGTCATCTGCAGCGGTTTGAAGATTGTCTTTCATTTTTTGTTACTGTTTTTTTAAATAAGTTTGCAGCCCTATTAACCAATTTAGAAAATTAATGGCAGGTAAAACCGCTGATCCTACTCTAACCTATTATACTTTTCGATTCTACGGTTAAATTTTGGGACGTGTACAATGCATCTTCTGCAGTAACATCTGCTGATCTAAAAACTTTTACTCAATTTTACGAGTGATTTATTTACAGACCTGAATTTTAAATGCTCTGGTTAATTTAGATCTTTTGTGGTTAAAAAAGATCATACTTGGTCAGTTTTCACTGTCAACTGAAAAAGCAACTTTTCAAACTGAAAAACACTTTCTGTAACAATTTGCTGAAACGTTCTGAAAAAGTGCAGCTTTTAAATGACTATTACTTCAAGCTGCAATCACGCAGCTGCTGATTAACAGCATCAGCTCTTTCATTTAAGAGCTTTATCGCACAAGTTCAGACATATTTGGAGCACAAGAATTGACGCTATAGATCTGATGATAACTGCGGAATAAACAGTTAAGGCTTGATGTTTTTAGAGCTCAAAGAAAGTAGATATAACGTGCGTCTTGTAAGCTAAGTTACTCAGCGATTAGTAAAGAGTTGCTTTTCAGTCAATTAAAGTACTACTTTCATGAACAATAATTCTCTTCTGAAATCAGTTTGTTTACTGATCATCAAAATCTGGTTAAAAAGTAACTGCCATCAATTAAATGTTGTTGAGCTGTTTTTAGCCGCAGAAAAATAGCGAGTGTTTTGATCAAAACTTTTTTCATTTTACATACACAGGTTTTTCTTTTGTTGTCTGATACTTCTTAGTAATTGCTCAAAATAAGTTTCTTGTTATTTTTAAAAACTTTTGGAAAAATTTACCCAAGCACAAAACCAGTTTGCCGGCATGCTGATGTTACGCGGTAAGTCCAAGAGCACAAGAATAGACTGTCACAGCACTACCGGAAGTAAATGGGTGGCGAAAAATGGAGCAATTCAAAAACGTAGCAAAGTGAGTTATGTAGTATCCTAGACTGTTTTTTTAATTATCTTTACGCTGTTCCACTTCATCTGTGCCATTCTTTATCAATCACTTCCTGAGAAGTGCAAAATTCTGTGCAAAATTGTGTTTAGAGTTATGTTTTCAGCTTAACTAATAGTTCGCTCATATTTACTAAAACTTTTACAACAATTACAATTTCTTTAGTTCTTCCAAGAACAAAACATTGTCCGATCAATGGCAGAAGATTCTTTGTGGTGTTACTAACTGTACTGGCTTGGACTCCTCGATGAAATGAAGAAACTTTGTGGTAGCATGTGAAATAAAAACCTTTATTCGATAACGAAAAAATAAACAATCGTTTTTGAACAATGGCTTCAATAGACTCACTGACGGGGATAATCCATTTTTTACCAGACTTGTGCGCTTAAGGCAGAGTCGGCTTAGGTGGAGCAAAGCAGCAGTACAACTTCAGAACTTCTTCTACAAAATCAGCGTCTCACTCTCTTAGCAACCATACTTTCTGCGACTCATCAGTTCCGACAAATAATATTTATATCTTTTCTTTGCTTCTTTAGAGAGCAATTTTTTTCAACCAAATTGGTTATACGCAGTAAAGAGAAAACGTGGTTAGTGCGGAGAGAAGAAACGATTCTGTAAGAGAAATAGGTCATTTTGGTCACTAACCTTGATATTTTGACACATTTATCAGCAAAAGTTGTTCCAAGCAAAGATTAATAATAATTTCGGTGAAAAGAAAGCAACCAAAATATTTGTCGTCTGTCCCTGTATGATGTTAAGTACTAAAATTTGGTATTACCATAATGTTTCATTTAAAAAATAAAGCAAAAATTTTTCATCAAATTTTTTTACTTCTGTGAAGCACAACCTGTTAGCAAATCTTTCTGAAAAGACATTTCTAACCTTTTGTGAAGACTGGTCACTTTGTGAGCTAAAGAGGTGTTGTCTGCGAAAAGGCGACTAACCAAGCAGATTGTTTTGTAGACATTAGCAACGACTGTTTGGTAAATTAATTCATATTTTAGTCTATTTAGCAACTAGAAAAGCACATGCTGAAAGAAGAGTCAAATATGAGCAGAAAGAAAAATCAAAAAAACTTATGACTACACTCTGATGATCTTTCCCGCAATATTATTGGTAAAAAGTTGCCAAAAGAATGCAAACCTTTGAGTTAGAATTATAATTCGCTTAGATATCAGTTTATGTACCGATAAAACCATTTCTAAGTCTCACATATTGAAAAAATCTTTTAGGTTGCAACAACAATAACTCGCTTAACACAAAAATAAATACTGCTATAGGCTATATAAAAAACATGGCAACTGTGTCTGATTGCCAAGCAAGACTGAGCTTTAAAGTGATACAGTAATAACTCAAGTTTTTTGTTGAGCATAAATCTGCCCTTTTTGTTAGTAGATTCGTTTAGTTCAAGCAAGTTTTGTGTAAAACAGCTGTAAAACTATTAATTGGTTTAATACCAAGACTACTTTTCAATATAGGAGTTGCGACTAGACTTAAAGTTTGCCTTGTGGATCTTAAAAAACGGTTTGCTAGATATCTTGCTATGTTTTTAAGTGCAGTTGCTTGTGAACTTTTAAAAAAAGAATTTTATTACCATTAGTCCTTGTTAAGTATTTCGACTTTCATTACCAGCAACTAGTGAATCAGTCTGTGAAAAGAATGGTTCACTTTTTTCCGTAAAATCTGGCAAATGAACCGAAGAAAAACTAAGCGGTAATACAGATTATGCTTATTTTTCAAAATACCCTTTCTTGGTTAAAATTTAAACTGTTTAATAGACCAACGCTCAAAAGATTTCGAATTTTCACTACTTATTATTCACTTTCGGTAGAAACTGCCGAAAAGAACAGATAATAAGCAAAAAATTTCTCTTTTGCTTGGAAGAGCGATAAATATTCAATGAGTAGCAATAAATAGTACATATAATAAATAATCAAAGGAAAAACTTATCATTCGCTGTTGTGTTTCGATGCCGCAAAAAAAAAAAAAAAACAAAAAAAAACAAAAAAAAATTGTATTTTGGAGAATGATAAACATTGAGTTTGGAAAAGTTGAAATTGACTAGATTAAATGATCTGTGAAAAGAAGAGATGAATCAAACAAATAAATATGAAAATTTGACCGTGTTGAGGTGTGATGGCTTTTCAGGACAGAAAGACTGTTATTATCAAAAGTGCCAAATAGCACACAGAATGGTTTTGAAAACAAGAAAAATAGACTGCAGTAACAGAGAACTATATAAGAATTCAGGTGTACAAAACAGGCAAAAACTTTTTGGTTGTTCTTTTTTTTGAACGACGCTATGTTTAAAAATTAACCGTTTTATTGAAAATTACAAGTTGAAAAATGAACGTCCAAAAAGCTTGAATGAAGATTTTTTTAATCATATCTTTATTTCTGTTAAGAATAATTAAATGGCAACAGCAACAATATGATGAACATCGATAGATTTTTCAAGAGTTAATAAGATAAAACAGATTAAGAAAATCATGCAGAATAAAAACTTGAAGCACCAACAGAATAAGTATTAAGAAAAAAAAGAAGAATAATTTGAACACTTTGGTCGGCTGACTTGTATTAGTCAAAAAGTATTTTTTATTTAATACATTCTTAAGATACAGTATAATGCCGCAGCACCTGGCATATAAAATCAGCGTCGCCTGAACAGACTGAGTATCTCTGACTCCAGAAACGGCAGCAAAATCATGACTTATTATGTCTATCTGATGCTTGCTGCATTCTTAGCTTCTCCAGCACAAGCTGATGTTACGAATGAATTAAAGAGTAAGTAAATTTTTACACCCATTGTCTTCTTTTCCGTTATTTTTTTTTTTGGCATAGAAAGTGGTAGCATTTTTGAAAGCAAAAACGAAAAAAAAATAGCGCGGTAATTTAAAAATTTAGTTCTCAGAAAAAACTCGTCTTTTGATGTAAAATTTGAGAAGGAAGACAAGATAGTCGTCAGCAAAGTGGTTGAGATTTGTCGATGACAAAATTGCTTCAGCATTCGCTCAAGAATTCTGCAGAACTTTTCTGGTTTTCTTTTCCCAATTTAGGTTAAACTGCTTCTTCTTCTTTTTAAGAATGCACTTCTGACAAAGACTGTGAAGGAGATTACATATGCGATGCAGAAGAAAAACTTTGCGTTTGTAAACTTGGCAATGGCAGAGTAGACATTTGCGATACCGACCAGAAGTGTGTTAAAGGCATTGGATGTAAGTATTTTTGCAAGGACGTCGAATGTAAGCTTTATACGGCAGACGGCTGCGACTACAATAATGGCTCATGCGGGTGCGGCATTAATCCCCCCTGTACCGGAATAGATGTGTGCAGCAATAGTGTTTGCATACCTGAATATCAGGAACCTTGTGGGTGCGCATCTATCTGTGACAGTTGTGTAGAGCCTGAAATACCATCTGCCAACGCCGGAACTTCCACAGCAAGAATCACTACTGCAACTACCACAAAACCGACCACTACTACAAGTACTACAAAACGGACCACTACTACAACTACTGCAAAACCGACTACTACTACAACTACTACAAAACGGACCACTACTACAACTACTACAAAACGGACTACTACTAAAACTACTGCAAAACCGACCACTACCACATCTGGTAATACAATGAACATCAGTAATTATTGGATGAAGAAAAAAAAATTATATATAAAAATTTAACTTTGACTTCTCCTGCTGATGAAGTATAGGTTTCAAGAGAGATATAAATAGTAAAAAATGTTAGTAACTGATTATTTAAGTAAATAGAAGTTTCTGTGTTTAATAACACTTCTTTAAAGCTTTAAAACTGCAATTGTCGAATTCTTTGTTTCTTCAAATTCAGATTAAGTCGTTTCGATTAATAAATGATTGAGTGATACGATAAAGGTGTAAGTTAAGTCCAAAAGAATTTTTGTGTCTTTAATTTTTAACTGTTTTACTCTTTTTGAAGGATGTAAAGACACGGCTACTAATTGTCCAAATAACGTTCATCTTTGCAAAGATTCGGCATATGTAAAAGTCATGAAACAGAATTGCCCAAAAACTTGCGGATACTGTGGTGGCGATGGTAAGTCTTCACAAGTTTCTCATCCGTCTTATCCTTCTTTTTTTCTTTACAGCATTAGCAGTGTTTGTTTCAGAAGATAAGAATTTATAAAAGCCATTTATAGTTATATGTAAAAATTTTAAATGGAATTCTAAGAAATCTTGAACAAAAGAAAAGTGAATTTCAAATGCATAATAAGTCAATGATTATAGCTGATGTTTAAAAAATTAACCCGATCGGTGTGGTAAAATTGTGTACGGTGCTAAAAAACTTAAAGCGGTAACCAACTTCTACTTCTAGGATCCTGCAAAGATGATTCGCAAGGCTGTGCAAAAAATCCAAATATATGTACAGACTCTGCATATGCGGCGCTCGTGAAAAAAGTCTGTCGGAAGACTTGCAGATTTTGCTAATTTTTCATCACCTGACATTGCATTTTGTTCAATGATTTCATGACTGCAATCAACTTCGATGAATAAAAGCCTTTAAAAATGGCATTTTACGAGAGAAGCGAAATGAGTGAGGAACTGTATTAAATGTTTTAAACTGGAGAGAACTAAATGAGCTACCCTCATCCTGAAATACAACCACAAATAGGATTGTACACTTTAAACAAGGTGACACGACCAATTCTCACTGAAAATTGCTACAAATTTGATTCTTTATTCTAGCCACGTCAGATTACTTTGCTTTGAGCAGCAGTCTTCAAGGTTTAATTTTAGATATTTATATAAATCGACAAGTTCTGTGAATGTTTCTAAAAAAGAAACGTTTAGCAACATTCTACAGTTCTCGTTAACGCAATAAGTTGAACAATTACAATAATTCCCCAAATAATTCTTTTGGCGATCGAAGACCATTAGCATTTGCTAAAGATGTTTTTTATAATACCACTATCCATTGAAATAACTTATCAATATACAGTTATAAAATTTTATTCTGAATCTGCATTTTAATACTTACCTCATTCAGATTGAAATTAAATTATTCAAAACACTAAAATGTCAAATATACCAGACACAAAAGAATTGTTTACACTCTTAAGTAAAACCAGTATTAATCACATTCTTGAACTATACGTTCAAATTTTTTTCCGCTGTATGAAAATAATCATATATTATTTGAAAATAATATTATGTTAATTTTAACTTGTCCAAAAAAGTAGGCAAATTTTAGTTATTCTGGGTTAGTAAAAGATAGAATGAATTGAAAGCGTATTACGAAACGGCACGGTTAATTTACGCACGCACCTAAAGCTTCACTCTTGAAGTTCATACTTTTTCAGATGTTGCCGTCTTCCGAAAAATTTGCATTTTCAGATTTGCATAAAACCTATAGCCAAAACACATGAAATTTTCAGAACCTCTATCAGTAGAGTGTAATTTCTCAAACCATTTTTTATGACCATTCTCTACAACAATTTCTTTACGCAGGCAAAAGAATTTGAATGGCAATAGACGTTCCTACCTTGTTGCGACGGCACGCGAAATGGCTTGAAGGAGGCAGTAGACTGTACCGACCCAGACATGGCCTTAAGGGGAAGCTCTTAGAGGCTATGGTGGAAAGATCATTTCGACAACGACAAGTATAAAAGAGGCAAGCTAGCAACAAGATTATAATTGTTCTCACTGTCAAAGTCAGTGTTCTCACCGCTATTCTCATTGCCTTTCGCGACAACTGTTGTGATTAGTGATCATTTATCCTCCTTTTCTTAGTTGTGCTTCCATTTAACTTTTTATTTTAATTTTGGTTTAAAATTTTGGTCAATTAAACGTTCATTAATTTGTATTTTCTTCGGGTTAAAGTTTATCATTTATTGTGGCTTTGTAATAATTCTTTGTAATAAGGTAGCACTGAGGTTCAGTCGCCAGTGTTACTTTTCTATCAATACGTTCAATATTCTATACATTGCTAGGGTTTAGGTCAGTAAGCAGTGCTCTGTGATCTTTCCTTACACCTTGTATTATCAAAAATTTGTTACTTGTTCGTTTGTACTGATTGAAGATTTCAACAAATAAAGAATTATCCAAGGCATTAAGCGTCCAACAACGTTACCACTCCGCGTCAATTCAAAAGGTTACAGTCCTCAAAATATACAGCTGCAAGCGTC